CGGGTTTCAAAGCTCCCTAGATGCTTTAGAGCCATGAAGTGAAGTAGAGCGCTTCCTGTACAAGTAACGTTTATGTGGGCGGAGACCTCAGGATGGGCTGGGTGCCTGGTGAGGTTCTGAGGATGCACTGTTAATGGTGGACAAGAGGGCTCAGCAGACAGCAGAAGAGAATCAGGGGAACCAGCATGAAGAATGTCACTGTCCACCCTGAGGAATAAGGGCAAAATGAGACGAGAGAAGGCCGGCCAGCCAGCACATGGTTTGCACTGTTAGAACCTTAAGAGTTTGAGAGTTCTAGGAGAATGAGAACCTTTGATGTATGTGGAGGGCTAGATGGAAATGTAGGAACTGCTGTGGTATATAGTATAGTGTGGAGAGAGAGTTAGACTAGGGACAGTAGACTCTCGGTTAGGAGACGCCAAGACAGAGGAAGGGGGACTGTCTTAGATGCGTAGTGCTTAGATTGGAAGATGGGGTGGTGCTCATCTTGTAACTTGGGTAGTAAGAAAGGAAGAGTTAATCAGAGACTCTGAGGTTAACCCCCTGCTTTTGATACTGTTAGAGACTGCCCCTCAGAAGCAGTGTTTAATGGTTATGGTTTTGAACTGCATGGCTTTAAATACTAGTATTTGATTACTAAAGGAGAGGACAGGACCCACAAAAGCATGATGTAATTAAATGGTGATTGGGTAGTTGGAATCATTCAACGCTTATCCTGAAGGGAGAGGGATGGGGCCTAAACAGGTGTGAAGACAAGGAGTAAATGTCTGAGCTTGGGTGTTTGGTGGCCTGAGTCCTGGGATAATGCCGTGTTCAGTAGCTGTCTGTTTTCTCCTCCTCACCACAGCATTTTTGAAAAGACCTTATGTCATTTCTTCCTTGTGCAGAAATGTAGATTTCCTTCTTCCCTTTATTAAATTGACTATGGTTTTGTCTTTTCAATGCAGAAGAAATTGCTTCAGAGAATTCAGATTCCATCTATTCATCAACTCCTGAAGTTAAGGCCTGAGCATCAAACATGTGCCGCAGATACCGGATAGTTCCTGGACTAAACAAGCAGAGACAAGCATCAGCCTTCAGAGTTACTCTCTGCCTGTGGCACAGAGGGCAGAAAATACTGGGCCATATGAATTAGCTCCAGTGCACGAACAACTACTCGGTGTTGCCTGTGAGTGAAAATAACTGAGTGTATGCGGTGCAGGCAGGAGGATTTGTTCACATAGTGCACAGCCTGCTGTCTGGAGTGAAAAGCCAGCTTACAATTTCCATTTTACACCGAAATTTCTTGTAGCTGTTTATGTTATGGAGAAGAAAAATATATTGGCCTATTTTTCTGACTTTTCCCTTAAAAAAGAATGCCTTTTTTTTTTTTTTTTGCTTAGTTGTGAAGAAGAGGAAATACATGATAAAGTAGCTGGTTTGATCTCTTTCATTGTACACTGATTGCTTCTGAACATCTAATATTTTTTAGTTATCTAAATAAAATGCCTCTAAAACAATAATTTTCTGTTTCTTTGGGAAATTCTGCTAATTTGAATATTAAAACTAAATATTCAAATATTAAAACTAAATATTCAAAGTTTTCTATATCATACACAGCCAGCAATACCAAAAGACAGGTTGGTTACAGAGTCTGAACTAAACATTTCCTAATTTTAAAATTTAATTATTTAAACTTGAGATTTTCATGTCTTTTGCTGGGTGTTCTTTTATATCCTTCCAGATGGATAGAGTTGCTTTTCTAGTTTCTTTAAATATGCATGGTAGTTACTACAAAAGAAAAGCAATTAGGAAGAGCAGGTAAATAAGTTGAAATCCAAGTTCTGAAAAACTACTGTACGTAGTCAAACATCTCCTTGGTTGTACAATAGCCACATAATTTTATGAAACCTGGTTAATCATTAACTTGCAGTATTCATGATGTATCAGACTTTATCACATTTAAATTTGGGTCATTTGAAAAGCCAACCTTTAATAAATTGGATCAGTTGAATAAATTTGTAGTTTCTTTACTGTTTTATAATATGAAGAGATTAAATTAGTAATTTGGAAATGCAGATGAACAGCTTGTATTAATTTGCTTTCTTGTAATTTATCTTTTGAGTGACCTTTAGTACTTTGATCAGAAAAAAGTTTTAACTGGTTGTCACAACCAGAATTCGGCACTATGACAGTGCTTGGGAGAGCCAAGCCTGTCACAGACATTGATGAGCCTCTGGCGGTGGTGTCCCTGTGTCCATGTTTAACATGCTTGCTTCTCTGCTTTGTAGCAGTATTGTTCATGTATCAAGATTAGACTGAGAGTCTGACCCTAAATAAAATTGAATGCATCTTTTGTAACAGAAGTCGCTTGGATTCATGAAATTGATAAATTTAGGGCATTTCTTCTTTTGTGCCATTGGTTTCCTTTTGCTGCAGCAAGTTTGTAGCCTGAATCAGCATGCTTATTAACAGATCACAGTGTCCTGAGTCTCACTGGAATAAAGTCCAGGTGCTGGCACAGCTGCATTCTGTCTGCAGTCACCAAGAGAAACTTCCTCTGTCCTCAGCTGCTAGAGGTCATTGCAGCACTCGTCTTTCTTCAGCTAAACTGGTTTCTCAGCTTCTTTAGTGACTGATGCTACCTCAAATTCAGGTGCTCACGTGAGAAGGCTTGGATGACCCTTCATGTATGTTTGATTCCTACATGTGGCTGTGTCTTGGGACTCCTAGATCTGTTCCTGGCCTCCCTTCTGTTAGTCCCTCCTCAAGCTGCCCATGGTTCTTGGATGTCACAGTTGGCCATCTCCTGTCTCTGCCTGGTTCTCAGCCTTACAATCTACACTGTAGGAAAGGGTTTAGAATTTGAACCAGGAGGGTGGGGCACTTGGTTTGGGCGCTGGTAGATTCCTCGACGGTGTGCCAGTTTTCTCATCGCCTGCTGAAACTTTCAGTGGGACTGGGCTGAAACTTCAAAGAGAAAAGTGAGGACTGGAGAGCCAGCCTAGTCAGTAAAGGGTGTGCTCTGCAGGTACGAGCATCAGAGTTTGCTTCCCCAGCACACGTACAAAGTTGTACATGGTACTGCATACATGTGCGCTTCTGAACATGCCCAGGCCACACGCAATAGCTACATATTAGGATACAGGATTGCTTGGTCATTGTGTCTAGGGTAACTACAGGTTTTTGTCTTGAGACATGAGTATTTTGGCTCTGCATGATGTTGGCATTCTTAGTGTTCTAGTGGGTTTCAGATAAACTCCAGGTTTGTAGTGCCTGTTCTAAGTTTTGCAAGGTTAAGTGAAAATAACAGTGGTATTATGAATATCATCTAGACACATCCAAAATATTTAGAAGTAGCTATGTGTTGACCAGACTAGATGGTTGCTCTGTAGGGGAATAAACAGGCTTCTATCTAGCTGAGTAATTGTGTGTCTGGCACTACCATTAATAACTTCCGTTTATCATGTCCTTAGGTATCTATAAACCGTACGACTTTGCATGCAAACACATTTTGATCACCCAGTTTTACAAGTAGACCGTTATGTCCTAGAACCTTCTAATCACTAAGTAGAATTGAAATATGAATGGTTTGAGTTCATTAGAGCCCTATACCAGATTGCCGCTTAATTATCAAATTTTGGGTCTGGGTATATGTACATCTCTGGCAGGACTCTCCTGAGATGAAAATGCTTTCATACTTCTGAAAATACTAGAGCAATTGATTCACTAGACACACTTGTGGTTCAGACTTTTAGCCCAGCAGAGGTGATTCTATGTGAGTGCAGATAATGGTGGCTAGCCCCCTGTGCTGTGAACCAAGGGGAATTCAGAGAAACCAGGCTGAAACAAATCACCGAATCTCAACCTTAGAGAGCCAAGAAACTGTCAGGACCCTCTCTTACAGATAAGGAAAATGAAGTTCATAAAGGCCAGTAATATGTCCTAGGTGACATATTCAATTAATCACAGAACTAAATTCAAAATGAACTAAATTCAAAGACATCTTTTCAGGGCTGAAGAGAGAACTCAGCAGTTGTTAGTACTTATGCTTTTTAAGACTTAAGCATGGTTCCCAGCTTATGACTAACTCTTGGTCCAGAGGGTCCTGGCTTGGCCTTTTCAGGTACCTGTACACATGGGCTATGCATACATACATGTGTATACACAAAAATGAAAATAACCATATATTTTTTAAAATGAAACCAAGCCTTTTATTGAATGTGGCATCCGCCTTAATCCTAGCAGTGGGGAGTCTGGGCAGGAAATTGAACAAAGCAATCTCTGGGCCAGCCGTGATCACAGCCTAATTTCTGTCTAAAAAAAACAAAACGAAAAGGCTTGAGAGATGGCTCAGCGGTTAAGAGCACTGACTGCTCTTCCAGAGATCCTGAGTTCAATTTTCAGCAACCACTTGATGGCTCACAACCATGTGTAATGGGAACTGATACCCTCTTCTGATATGTCTGAAGACAGCTACAGTGTACTCGTATACTCATATATATTAAATAAATCTTTAAAGTACAAAAACAAAACAAAAACGAGAAACCAGATCTTCCCAAGCTAATGTCCTGGCTTCTCTTTCATTGAATCCAGACTAGAAATCACAACGTGTTCTAGATCCTAGACTGCTTTGGCTGTTACCTGAGGGCTCTGGAACACCGCCCACAATTCGGGTCCAAGGCTGCATTGCTCTGCCCATGCAAGGAATCCAGTTCTGCCACTCACACGATCTTACAGCTAAACTCCCTAAGGCTCTTTCTGTCCAGCTCCGTTGGCAATGTAAGCATTTTAAAATTATCGGGAGACTTCTGGAGCTGGGGCATGCTCAAGTTACGTGCCTGATCCGGAAGGACAAAGGAGCAGGTAGTGTAAGGTCCTGCCTGGGCGCCAAGCCCAGAAAGGAGTCAGGGGAAAAATGGTGGAGTAGTGCAGGATTGGAGGGGCGTGGCTTTGGAAGGGTGTGGCTTAGGAGGTGCAGAAGGGGTGTGGCTCGGGGCGGGCACTTGGCAGGAAGAAGGAAGGCCTGGCCTGTGTGTCGCCCTGGAGCAAGAGTTGGCTTTCTGCGGTGGCTACTATGGCTGGGCACTGCCGGGGCACAGAGCTCGGTAAGGGCTGGCGGGTTGCGCTCCCCTTCGCCCGGTCGCGTGCTCGGTGGGTTGGGTGGGGGGTGCCCAGGGCGGTCCCCGGAGGGCGAAGACCTAAACTGAGGCAGAATCTCCGGACAGCCCTACCGCCCTGCTCATTGCGGTCTTACTCTTTGAGTGGAAGCAAGGAAGGGTTAATTAGATCTTTCCACTTTGTAGCTCTGTGGTCGCAGAAAATAAACCCCGGGAAAGCCTGACGGAGTACTTGTACCATTTACTGCCGGATTCATGTAGCCATTCCTAAAGTTGGCTGCGTTGGTGGAAGAGTGGTCATGGCCTTCTGCTAAAAATGATTTTAGATGCTTACACAAAATGTTATTTTTAAAACTCTCTTTCATCTTATTGATGCTAATTCAGGTATTTCTGGGAAAAAAATTTAGAAGTCTGTATGTAATTCAAACGTAGCAAAAACGTGACTGAGCCAAATGTCAGTGATTTAACTTTGTATGATAGTTTGCTCTATGTCCTAGACCCTCTTAGTAGTGTGATTCTGGGTAAGTTAACTCACTTTGTGCTTACATGCCGGCATCTGTAAAGTAGTTACTAGGAAGCTGCTTCTGTCCGAGGTGGTTTGGATAGTGTGAGGAGTGGGTACTTGGAGCCTCTGGTAGAATTCTCTGCACTTAAGTGTTGATAAGCAATGATAATAAGCCGATAAAGGTCTCTTCATAGGGACTAGTTTTGAGTAGCTGTAAATGATACACATGGTTGGTTACTCTATTCTCTTCAAAAGGAACTTGCTCTATGAATAAATAGTCTAGACTTTAAGAAGTGTTTAGAATTGCATGCTTGACAGGTAGTTTCTGTACCAAGTTCACATCAGTTTAGCGACTCCTTCCAACAATTTATCCCTGTAATTGTAAACTTTAGGAGCGATCAAGCGTACCCTGGATTGGAAGATCCTGGAAGATGGGGTATAAGGCTTGAAGGTGAGGGGTGTCTGCATCTTTGTACAAAGTTGAGGATGTAACATAACTTCCCCTGAACATCTCTTTTAAAAGTTTCACAGTTTCCTTTCATGAGATGCAGCTAAACCATTTTTACTCCCCTAAAGTGTAAGTCCCAGGCTGGGTGGCGTTGCACACACCTATAGCCCAGCATCAGGTGTGTGTCAGGTCAGCCTGGACTATATATATTGGAAGAGCTTTTCTCAAAAAGCTGTCAAAGCACTACCTGAAGTGTTACAAAGTAACAGTGTAGAAATTAACAGCTGCTATTATAATAATAGTAAGTGTGCGCCCACACCTGCATCTGAAGGTTCTATTTTCCTTACGATTCTGGTTAAAATCAGGTAGATTGTAAGAGTCCTTTTCTGCTGAGGTATTAATCCTTAGGAAAGACAGCTGCTATCTAAATTGCTAAAGTAAATCACGTGAATTATATATGTACGATGAAAAAAATTGTTCTGTATTAATTTCGACATTGCTTTAATTGGTGATTTTTGTGTTTTTTGTTGATTAAAGACATCTTAATGTTTTTAATGGACACTACTTTTTTTTTGGGGGGGGGACACTACTTTTTAAAAAGAAATTAGCTTTATCTAAACCCATATGTATTACAGAAATTTTAGGAAAACACGGTTATCACCAGGGAGATTGTAGAATTCACTAGTCATTGTTATTTACAATTTTTTTCATTTTATTTTTATTTTATGTGTGAGTGAGTTTTGCCTGTGTTTATCGTTCACATACAATGCCTGTTGAGGCCAGAAGAGGGCATCCAGTCCCCTGGGATTGGATTTTCAGATGGCCTGTGGCTGCCGCATGGGAATTGAACTCAGGTCCTCTCAAAGAGCTCTTAACTGCTGAGACATCTCATCAGCCTTTAATCCAGATTTTAAAAAGTCAAATTTATTTGTCTACTCTGTGTGTGTGTGTGTGTGTGTGTGTGTGTGTGTGTGTGTGTGTGTGTTGGGGTATGCGCACGTACACCTCTGGAGATCAGAAGGTAGCTCTCACAGTTGGCTGACATTTATTTCCCCTTTTGCCATCCAGGATTCAAATTCAGGATGTCCCATGTGGCAGTAAGCATCTTGCCCACTGAGCCATCTGTCTGGCCCTGAACTTGAGTTTTAGGATGAGAACTCTGCAAGGAAAGTTTCTTCCCACCAGGAAGGGCATGAGTAAAGGAGGCTTTCCAGATAGGGATCCTCTGATGGTGATAGAAAATGGAGATCCACCCGTCTGGGGCTCGGTGGTTCTGAAGCACACTCATGGAACCGCCATGCTGGGATGGAAGACTCTCACATGTGGAACAATGTAATACATCTTGAACTACTTACTGTTTGGGGGAACCTCTCTCCATACTGCTGGGCCCCTTGTGTGGACAGGAGCTATGAGTGCCATGCTTTTCTAGTTTTTAATGTCAGTCAAAGGCCAGTTGATGACATCTGTTTTTAAAGGTATCTCACACCTATGAGGGTAGTGGACAGTGGTTTTGTCTTGGGATTTCTAAAACTGATGGAACACTATGAACAAAAACAAGTTGGGGAGGAAAGGGCACATTTGTCTTTCTGTTCGTCTTTGAAGGAAGTCGGGGCAGGAACTCAACTAGGGCAGGGGGCAGGAGCTGTTAGAGGAGTGCTGCTCACTGGGTGTTCCTCATGGCTTGCTCAGCTTTCTTTCTTTGTTTTCCTTATGGTGTCATAACTCCTAACATTTGAGATTTATTTAGCTGCCTTGGTGACTTTTCCTCCAACATACTAATTTTTTTTTTTTTGAACCCAGGACCACCAGCACAGGGATGACACCACCCACAATGAGCTTGGGACCTCCCTCATCAATCACTGATTAGGAAAATGCCCTGCAGGGCCTGTCTCAATCCTGATCTTGTATAGGCTTTTTTTCCCCCCTGAGTTTCGATTCCCTCTTCTCACATGACTGTAGCTAATGTCAAGTTGGCAGGAAGCTAGCAAGCACAACTTCATTTCAAATTTGTGTATCATTAGAGGTATCTGGAAAGTGGGGAGTTTGTACTAGGGAACATTTTAGCAATGTCTTACTTTATGTCAGTCTGTTTCTGTTAAGGGAAACGTTTCAAACAGATCCTAATTGTGAAGAAACCAGGACGGTTCAATGGACACTGTTGTTAACAAGAGGCGGATATAGCTATGGTTGAGGGTGTTCAAAACAAAGAGTAGTCTTGGTGTACCACAAAGGAACACAAGGAGGAAGTCAGAGGCTGCTCCAGGTCCACTCTTTCTGTAAGAAGGGTATTCTTGAAGCCAAACCTTGCTAGCAGGCACCCTGGGCAGGAAGTTCAGCTGGTGTTGTGTCTTCCCCATTTGCTGTGGTCCAGCTTCATAGTCTTCTGAGGTTGGCTGGTTTATGTTTTTATGCATATGGATGACTTATGTGCATATATATCTGGATACCATGTACATTCTTGGTATCCTTGGAAGCTGATACCAGGGGTTGGAGACCAGAGGCTTAACAATTTTGAGGCCAGCCTGGGATAGTTTTGAGACTAAACTAAGTAAAACCACCAGGAAGGAAGGAATGGAATTTTATTTGAGGGGACAGAGTAAGGAAACCCTCCAACTTGACTGTTCCATTATTAAGGGGAAGGTTCTTATTTTTGAAGAGTCTAGAGCAGAGAGAAAAGAAAGCAGACTGAACATGGCCCCTGGGCTGGGGAAGCAGGGGAGAATAGAGGAGACAGGGAGGTGGCAAGGGCTGGAGCTGGAGCACCGGAGAGAGCAAGAAACAGAGCATAGGGAGAGCCAATCACAAGGGAGGACCAGTGAGCCTAGCTGGGTTATAGGGAGGATGAGAAGCTGTGAGTGAGGAGGGAGTGGCGGATGTGTGGGTGGCTAGGGTGCTAGTGTGGAATTTGAAATGTATAACAGGTCCTTGTGATACTAAGGGAGCCTGGAGGCCAGCATGGGCTTTGATATGCTGAGAGCCATATCTCCTTTCGCCAGAGGTCAGGGAAATGACTCCTTTGGGGGCCAGAAAACCTGTTTCACAAGTTCCTGAGGTACGATGGCTTTTATCTGTCAAAAATCCTTCTGTTGTCCAGCCTGAGATCATTTTTGGATATGCGAACTGCTTGAGCCTTAACAAAAATGACCTCAGACACACAGAAGGACAGGAAGAGATGGCGTCACACCAGTCCAGGGGTGGCTTTCTTTCCTAATGCTGTTTCTCGCTGCATAGTTTGTACACAGGGATTGAGCAAAAGCAGCCTAGAAGTTTTTTTTAAACACAGGACTCCAGTGTTCAGACTCTAGTGTAATCTTATTTTGCTGTAGTGGATATGACTAATATATTGAAGAAGATAGAATTATCTAATTCTGTGTATGGATCACACAGTCAGTATGGTGACTGTACATTGGAGGTTGGGTGTCCTTTTATGAACACGTTTATTCTGCTTTTGAAGTCTGCTACTTTTTGTTTATAAGCATACACATAAGGCTATCTTTTATTACCCTGATACTGTTTTGATAAATAGAAAACTCTAAAATAATAATCAGAGTTTGTTGTATAATTAAATAAGTAAATCCTCTGTGGTACCTGCTACTCGGAAACACATTTTTTTTTTTTTATAAAAGTATCTAAGCCTCGTGGATTTTAATTATTAGGAGGAAAGACAAATGTCAAGCCTCCGTTGAAAATGGGCTGCCTCTGCCTGGAAAGAAAGACTCCTAAATGAGACAGCAGACGGAACCCTTGAGGACGCGATTGAAACATGTCACTAGAAACGGTTTAAGTGGAGAGTTCTGGCCCTTTCAAAAACACTGTCTGTCGCTTGAGGATTGGGTCACCTTGAAATGTGTTCATCTTTGAATTAAAGGCATGAAAAGGCACTTTGAAAAATTGCAGTCGACTTTGGTGTGTGTGTCGAGCGTCTGTGGTGTACCTCTCCTCTGCCGCCTCACTGAAACAGTCGGTTCCCTGGAAACCAACGTGGTCGCAAGAGGAGGATAAATGTTTAATCTCTGCGCCAGCAACTGCACATAG